ATATCTGATGAGATCAGGCTATATACAATGCTGCCTTCTCTCCTGAGAGATGACGCCACTTCCACATTCATGGGCAGGATGTCTCGGAGTATTTGAGGCTGAGGGAAGGTGGCATGAGGCTGGTGCCTTTGCACCATACTTAATGAGCTTCCTGGAGGCCTCTGATTTATCATCTGTACAAACAAATTGTAGAATTCAGTGCCAGTAAACAGTAGTGATGGCCTTGGCTTTTAAAGATTAGGAGGAGTCCATCAGTGGCTTCTAGCCATAGTAAGGAGGGAACCTCCATATTCAGAGGCAGTAAACCTCTGAATCCCAGTGATGGGAGGCAACATCAGGGGGAGGCCTTGGTCTCTATGCCTGGTTTGTTGGGCCTCTGGTGAAAGAGGATGCTGGACTAGATGGACCATTGGTCTGACACAGCAAGGCTCCTCTTGAGACACTGAACTAGAAGAACCCGGCCTATCAGAGCTCTTACGATTCTAATCTTATGTTCCACACAATCAACAGTCCTTCAAGGAAGAATTTGCCCTCTTGGGTGATGGATTTTGAGGATTAACTAGGGTTGCCCGGTCCCCCCGGCCACCAGCGGGGGAAGGTTGCCAACTCCAGGTTGGGTAACTCCTGGATATTTGGGGGTGGAGCCCAGGAGGACAGGGACCTCAATGGGGTACAGTGTCATACAGTGCATCCTCCAAAGCGTCTGTTTTCTCCCAGGAACTTATCTCTGCAGTCTGGAGATGAGCTGTAATTTCAGCTGATCCTCAGGCCCCACCTGGAGACTGGCACCCCTAGGGACTACGATCAGCAGAATCAAACACAGAGTTGGCCCATATGGGGCACAGTCAACCAGGAAGTAATTCTGTTAAGGAGAAATGTTGTGAAGCTTCACTGCTATTATCCTTCCAGCGTTGACTGCTAGGCTAACTTGAGCCCCGTTATTCAAGATAAATCATTCCTCAGTCAGTCTGTGTGGGTGCCATTGTGACCTTTATTATTCAAGATAAATCATTCCTCAGTCTGTGTGGGTGCCATTGTGACCTTTGAAATGACTTTTGCCAAAGCATCGTAAGGGCCCACTGGAAGAACACATGAGACTAGAAGAAGCACATGAGACTGTTCTTGCTTCAGGGCCTGTCCAAAACACCTTTGTGCCTAAATAAACGGAAATGGCATTTCTGCTAATTAACCCAGGATGCAATCCACTGACATATTTTCTGGTGCAGTTCCCACCCATTTTAAAAGGGCTCGTGTAGAACGTCCCGTTGGACTAAGCTCCGAAAGTCCCATCTTCCATCCTGCTACTGACAACTGCACTCCAAAATGCACCACCTTGCCTTGACTGGTGATCAGATGGATTGCCAGTGCTCTCCAGGGTCTCAGGGAGAGGCCTTTCACATCACCTACTGCCTGGCCCTTTTTAACTGGCATTGTCAAGGCTTGACGCTGGGACCTCCTGCATGCAAACCAGAGGCTCTTCCACTGAACACCACAGCCCCTCCCCTCCTCTCTCCCCCCTCCCATGCCTTCCTAAAATATATCGTAGCTAGAGGGAGAAAGGGAATGCTGAGAACTTGATCACATTCACAGACTATGGTCAGATTTGGCCCAAGGCAGCCAGACCAACCCCAATCTATCCATTAAAATATGAAGTGAATACAGAACTTCTCAGGAACATAACATTCAAAACAGATCGGTCTGGTAGGAGCCAAGACTGCTGCCGGAGGAGAGACTGGATGGGGGTGGGGGTGGAGAGAGCAGATTTTTTTAAAAAAGAGAGAGGGTACCCTTTGGGTGATTCCAGAAATAAGTGCTTTCTTTTCTCTCTCTCTCCTCACATGAAGCCCCACCACTGCCTTTCATGACTAAGTTCCTAACAGGATTAGCTTGAGCTGTACTGTGACATAAACAGTTGTTCAAGCCAGTGTATTATCCAGGAGAATTCTTGTGCTCTTCCAGTGTGAGCAACTTCCCTGGATACAGAATGCCTGGCTAGCGTGATTCTGCAAGAAAAATGGGAACACTGCTCTTTGTTTTGAACAACGGAGGGAACAGACAGGTCTTAGAACCCTAGCTAGGTCTTTTTGCCCCACAGAGAAAGCCTGGCTTTTCCCTATACTTGCAATGCTTTTGGCAGGATGTATCAACGGACTGAATGCCGACTGGGCAATCTTTCTCCCCCACCAAGGACTTCAGGCAGGCGGTCCATCTTTAAAAAACATTAAAGCAATGGCCATAAGTTTACCCCATTTAATGACTGTTGGGTGCCTTCTTTTTAAAAAGATGAGGTAAAATTGCTCCTAGGGAGGTGGGTTCATAATGGCATGAGCCCCCACTGCAATGCTCTCTCTAAGCTGAGTTAGTGTGTGCTAGCTCAGTTTTTTTAGCCTTTGGCTCACCCATTTTTGTCTTAGCTCAGGAAGGATGGCTCCAGAGCAAAATTATTTATGCAGCGGCCGAATCACTCACTCACAACTTTAATGCCAGTAGCTCACAAAGTAGAATTTTTACTCAGAAGACTCCACAGCCTAGAGGAAACATTGGCCCCCAGTCAATCAGTGCAGTGGACACCTGATTTCAGCCATAAACTCGTAGAACCAATTTATCTTGGGTTGCCTCCTAGGGAAATTGTTGTAATTCATTGCAAGGGTATCTGGATGCACACCAATTTCCTGCCTGCTGTGTACATATGTGTGTGTGTGTGTGTGGGGGGGGTTATGCAGAACATTGAAGGAGGACCCCTTTGTGCCCATGGGAAGCCTTTCCCCCCCAAAACCCTTCTGGCTGCTGAAGGGGATCTCCTGCACATTATCAAGCCTATCTAGCAACCTGCATTGCTGATGATTCTCTCGGTACAGACCCACAACTCGGCGGCTGCTTCCACATGTGTGGAATGTGCATGGCACAGATAACACCTTTCATGATTCTGGATCCAGCTGCTAGCTTTTGCATTTATGAGCACACAATCCTAGGCCAAAAGATCCTCTAGTTTTATAGTGGATTATTACAAATTGGAGGAAACTGACACATGAAACAGAAACACTAGGGGGCAGTGAGTGAATGGTGAGGTTGGGTTTGAGCACCAGACTCTTGAAAGTGCAATAGGTGCATCTAGGATTTCAGCACCAAACAAGTGCGCAATGCTACACGTGCATTCAGAATCACATGCGCACAACATCTCCCCACACATAAGGAAGCTCAATCTTCAACTCTGCCAGTTGGCGCGTATTTCTGAAACATGTGCCTGCCCAGTGAATACAACCAAAGGGGTCACTTGCAGGACAGCATCCGCAAGCTGGTGTGGGGGTGTTGCTTTAACACTTCCCATTCACTCCCAGCTCATTTTCTTGATGGCTGGACTTCTCAGAACCTAAATGGAGAAAAATCAGTTTAAATTTTAAAAAGGGTGTATGTGTCACATGGACACATGAAGCTGCCTTATACTGAATCAGACCCTTGGTCCATCAAAGTCAGCATTGCCTACTCAGACTGGCAGCGGGTCTCCAGGGTCTCGGGTGGAGAGCTTTGTCATCTCCTGCTTACTCTGCCTGATCATCTTAACTGGAGATGGCGGGAATTGAATCTGGGTCCTTCTGCATGCCAAGCAGATGCTCTAACACTGAGCCATGGCCCCTCTCCTTATTTAAGAGGGTGAATTAGCAGGCAGTGGAAAATTTAAAACAATTCCATCTCTCTGGCCAAGTTTTTCCTGCAAATGCTTCCTGCCCCCACCCCCAGGAAACCTGTTTGAGAACCCTTTCCATGAAACACATAGTTCCATGTTGCTGCCAATGAAAGGGTATACATTTCACCACGACCATTGGACTAAACAGAGTTCTGGTGCCGTGAATCCCCAAATTACCTGTTCTTCTTCCTTCATTCTCAGACCTTTTTCTTTTCTTTTAAAAGTGCTATGTCAATGTGGAATTTGCTCCTTTGCACATTTTAAAAAAATCTGGGTACTTATGCATTTGCCTTCCTTAAGAAATACGGCCACATTATAATCCCATCTGAAAAGAACCCCCTCCCCCTTCGCCCCCTGTACACTGCACCAAATGTATGTGGATTTATGAGTGCTCGGCCGCATTTGTGCAAATTTAGCATTTACGAATGGAGAGACATTTTAAAAGTCAAACCTGCAATTCCAGGTGGAAGAAGTGTGTATGTTTCAGAAAGCATATGCACCCCGATCTAGCGAGCGAACATATGCTTGCATGTGTATCCCTAGCTGAATGAGGAATCCCTACAGGCCCCCGCCCCCCAATCCAGCTTCATACACATAGCTCCAATGATATAACTGATGGAAGTGCTAATCAGATGTTTGGGGAGGGAAGAGCGAGGGGATGAATTTATCTAGCAAGCCCCCCCCCCCCGCTTCCCACTCTCTAACCAAACGGGTGATCTATACAATTACCAATAATAATTTAAAAAACAACAACCACTCAGCGATCCACCTGCACGTCGACAGTTGGATGGGGGCCAAGAGGACGAGTACCATCAAGATAGGAAAGGACACATTTGAAATGGAATGTGGCCGAAGTGCTGGTTTGGACGCATTTCAAAAGGTGACCAATAAGTGCATCATGCTGATGGAGGTTTGTGTCTGTCGGGGGGGGGGGGGGGTATTTTTTAATATTTTTTAAAACACAAGACTGAAGAATGTCCAGCATCATTCCATTCCGAAGCTGCCTTGACTTGCAAAGAAGGGAGTGCTCGTTGGATTCCGTTCGGAATAGCAGCTGCTCTCGTCAGTTTCCAGTAGCTTCCTGTTGAACGATTTTCTTTTTTCTTTTTAAAGGCTAAACTACACACACAGACAATTTGGAGTCAAGCACATCTGTCTGGACCAAAAAAACCCAAACCCCAACCCTCCAAACAAACTAAAAGATAATGAAAACTTGAAATGTTGCAGCGATTTCTCCCCCCCTTCTTCTTTTTTTTAAAAAGTCCATCTCAGCCACGTTGCAGCTACTTTTTCTTTTGTTTTACAAGGGGGGGGGGGAGGAAAACCGAAAAGCAAACACACACCAAAACAAGATGAATGTGAAGAGCAGTGGTCATTCTCGGCTGTATCGGCACACGCTCACCACCGATGTATTGGAGTAGTGCAAATTGGAGGGGGTGGTGGGGATGTGCCTACACTGACTGTATATCCATCAAGGCATGAAAGATTTTTAAGACCCTGGGCATCTGGTGACCCAGAGACTAACTCTACATTTAAGAGAGCTGGATTTCTCCTCCCCACAGTTGATCTTGATTTCCATTTCCTTTCATCCCATCCTTCAAGGAACTTCTGAATTTTCTGAGACAACAAATTACAAATCAGAGATAGGCCAGGCAGGGCTTGCCGTGATGGGAAGACCAACGCTCTCAGGACCTGAATTAGCCCAGCACCATCAGTAGGGGTTGGAGGATGTTCTTTACTAGAACGGAGTTGCTTTGGAGACGGAAGGAACAGCTCCTGCCTTTAGACCAAGTCCTCATCCTGCCTCTTTGGTGTTGGTTTTTAAGCAGCTGGTCCATTGGAGAAGGAAAAGAACCTTTTGAGGGGCTGGAAAAAACGTCCTGAAGGTAAGCACAGGTAAGGAATTGGTACTGGCCTTCTGAAAACCACAGGCTGTTTTACCCAAGACGCCTGAAGGAAGTGGCAAAGTCCTACTCAAAATAGAAGCTAAGGAGGATTTCCTTTGGGCTGATTCTGAAATGAGAACCTTGCAGTGGTTGGGGGGGGGTGTTTTGGGAGAACCAACGTGACGGTTCTTAGCCATACCAAGACTGGGTCCCCGACTCCACCCCAAACAGGACCGTGCCCTAGTAAAATTCACCAAAGCTGTATCCAAGTGCACGCCAAAGACCCTGAAGAAGTGAAAGTCTGGACGCAGGCTTCTCATGGGGCTCCAACAAAACCCTTTCTAGCCTTGCTTTCGTATGTAAATGAGCCTTGAAGAGCTCCACCCCCTTCCACTTCGCTGAGGCTGGACTTTCCCCGCTTCCGAGCAGCTTGCTGGATTTCTTAGCCTCGGCTTGGAAATGCCGCGCTCCGCAAAGCTAACATTACCGCCAGGGTAATGCGGCCACCGTCCAGCTAGCAGATCTCCCCCTCGAAGGTCGATCCGTGGGCATCTGAGGATGTGGCAGGCTCCTTTGTCCTCTCTCCCCTGAAGTGCAACTTCTTTTGAAACAAGTGCGGAGCGTTCTGGAGGAAGCCAGCGAAGGGCGTGAGAGAGAATGTTTCCTTCGCCTGCCTTCTTCGGGAGGGGCTGGAACAGCGAGGTGCAGAACCAGGGAACAACAGATGCCGAACACGCCTCTGCTCAGCACTGCCACGCCACACCACACCAAAGACTTGCTCAGAAGACGTGCGTGTGGTCACTCTACGTTTCATGATCCGTGGCTCAAGGAGAGACTCTTTTCCTATGGCAGAAAGAAGCCCCTGGGATTGCCGAAATTAGCCCTTGTCCTGAACGGGGCCACCTCCCTTTTCATTCATGCTCTGGAGGGGGGAAGAAAAACAAGCAGAGGCACAGACCTCTCTCAACTGGTTGGGTACCAATCGGCCATTTTTTAAAAAGTAGACAGAAAATCAAAGCACCTATCTCAGAAAAGGCCCTTGAGCCTGCAGACTATGACTGCTGAAGAACATAAGAGCCCTGCTGGATCAGACCAATGGGCCGTCTAGTCCAGCATCCAGTTTCACACAGGGGCAATCCGGTTCCTCTGAAGGGCCAACAACAGGGCAGAGAGGCCGAGGCCTTCCCCTGATAAGAACGTAAAAGGAACCCTGCTGAATCAGACCAGGGGTCCATCTAGGCCAGCATCCTGTTTCACACAGGGGCCAACCAGTTCCTCTGGACGGCCAACAGGTTCCTCTGGAACAACAGGGCATAGAGACCAAGGCCTTCCCCTGATAAGAACATAAGAAGAGCCCTGTTTGATCAGACTAATGGCTCATCTAGCCTAGCATCCTGTCTCACACAGCGGCCAATCTGTTCCTCTGGAGGGCGAACAACAGGGCATAGAGGCCGAGGCCTTCCCCTGATAAGAACATCAGAAGAGCCCTGCTGGATCAGAGTAGTGGTCCATCACACAGGGGCCAGCCAGTTCCTCTGGAGGCTCAACAACAGGGCACAGGTGCTGAGACTTTCCCCTGATGTTGCCTCCTGGCTCTGGGATTCAGAGGCTTAGTGCCCTCTAAATGTGGAGGTTCCCCTCAGTCACCATGGCTGGCAGCCACTGATAGACCTGTCCTTCAGGAATCTATCTAATCCTCTTTTAAAGCTGTCTCTACCTGTGGCCCTCACTACATCTTCTGGCAGCGAATTCTACATTTTAATCACTCTCTGTGTACAGAAGTATTTCCTTCCGTCCGTCTCAAACGGGGCTCTTGATCCTCGTTCCACCGCTCCCCGAATCAAAGCAGATTTCATTACAATGTAATCCAATTACATGTAATGCTTTTTTACAGTCTTTCCTGGAAGACTGTTCCCTACGTGTGCTCGGGGAAAGTGTGGAAGGGGAAACGCGGATGTTCCCAGCCACGTCCATCACTGCGTCTGCTGCCATTTTCCACCTGTGGCAGGCAGCAGGGGAAAGCATGGAGTAATTCTCCATGTGGAAGTACAGTTCCCGGTCCAAATGCCTCCGCAATGGCAGCGGCTATCAGTGCAGAATGGGGAAGAGAAGCAACCTATCCCCAGCATCGTCACCACCTCACTTTCGCTTCCTCTTGGATTCCCTGCCTCCCCTTAGCGTTCTGTCATGTCTCTGCTTCTCAGCTCGTTGTCTTCTCTATCTGCCTTCCTTCATCCACCTTCTGCCTCTCCAGCTCTCTTGCCTCAGGGGATCACCCACCTTTTTTCAGCCGTTCTGATCCCACACTTCCTGTCGACATACGTACTATAACCTGTCTTGTCCCCAAACTCTGTTTGAAATTTCTCCCTTCTCCCTTCAGCCAAAACGCCTCACTGCTTCTCTCCCCGTGCAGTTGGTTCGCCTCTCTTTCTCAGAAAAGCGGATTCCTTGCAGACATTCTATGACATCACAGCAGCTCATCCAATGGCTAGCTGAATACATGTAGGTGGTACCCATCCTTAGCTTCCTGGCAGGATACTCACCAGTCCCTTCTGACCGCTGCTTTCACCCTGCAGGCTGAGGAAAGGGTTTGTCTGTGCGGACATCAGGCTGTTGCCGGGGGTGCTGAGTGGTGGGGAAGCCATCAAGGAACTGGCTGGATTGAGCTGCTGAGGGGAGATGGAGGCCAGCAGGGTACTGCTGGCAGCTGACGGAGCGGCACTGTTGGAGTGGAGGAGGGACGTGGAGGTAGCTGGCAAGAGGCCGGCCAAGGGCAGCTGAGAGGAACCCGTCATCTGGAGCCGCTGCAGTTCCCTTTTCTGCTGGATCTGCTGGATCATCTGGAACACCAAGGCCTGCTGTTCCTGGAAGCCACATGATGACTAATTATGCAGAGTTGTTCATTGCTGTCCCCTCCCCACAACACACAGAGCAGAAAACAGGAACTGGGGGATTCCCACACCTAAGGATGCTGCATTTGGCTTACAAAGTTCTGCCACCCAGCACTGATTACCTCTGAACACATGCAGAGTTGTTTTTCTCCATGAAAAAATAATGTTTTTAAAAACTGAAAGGAAAACGGTTTCTGAACACTTGCAGAAAGTTTCCTCTACTTTATGAAAGAGCCAAAAGCTCTACTCAGCTATTCAATGGGGTCTGGCATATTTATTGAGATGTTCAGACCCTGCCTTTCTCCCGAATGAGGACCCAAAACTGCTTGCAACCTCACTCTCCCCTCCTCTGTTTTATCCTGCCAGCAACAACTCTGCGGGGTAGGCCAGGCTGAATTCTGAACCTGAAGGTCCCATCGGCTAATGGCCAACGATAGAACTTGCCTTCCACGAGACAGCCCAAGCCCCCTTAAATCCATCTAAGCCAGGGGTCATCATCACATCTTGTGGCGTGGGCAGTCTCCCTGGAAGTGACATCATCACAGAGTCAATGTGATGATGTCATTACACCAGGACAGGAGGAAGCCTATAAAAGGCCCCTCTCTGGCTCCAGCAGGGCCACTGCTTTCTCAGCCAGGGAGTCAAGGAGCTCAGTGTAGTATACCAGTCTCTTCTCCTTGTAGGGTTGCCAGGGCTTACGTCCTCCTCAGCGAGGGATGGGTGGGAGGGAGCTCTCTTGGAGTAGGGGGGTGGGGGGACATTGCCGTCCACGACGTTCCCAACGTGATGACATCATGTGGAAGTGACGTCATCACGCTGGTGACACTCTGGTATTTGGGGCAAAAATCTATGGTTACCACAGAGTTTTGCCCAAAACACCAGACCGTTGCTGTGTGATGTCCCCAGAATAATGATGTCACTTCTGCGAGACATCATCACGTTGCGGACATTGCACCAGGTGGTGGCTGTTGGAGGCGGGGCCTCCCCCTGCCAGCCAGCTGGTCAGCAGTGGCACAAGCCCACAAAATCGAGGCTCCCCCGCTCCCATCTGGGGGCTGGCAACCCTATCTCCATGCTATCCTCACAACAACCCAGTGAAGCAGATTAAGCACAGTAGGTTCGCCCCCTCTTCCATTTTATCCTTACAACAACAGTGCTGTGTGGTAGTTTAGGCTGAGGGAGCAAGTGACTGACCCAAGATCACCCAGTGAGCTTCCATGGTAGAGTGGAGATTGGAACACAGGCCACACCAAGGGTAAAACGAAGGAAGGGAGAACCATTTATGGAGACGCAGAGCTCCTTGGATGATGGGTGGGATAAAAATGTGACAGACAGACAAAAGAATGTCACACTATGATCCGGGAGACCCAGGTTCGAATTCCCACTATGCCATGGAAGCTTGCTGGGTGACCTTGGGGTAGTCACCCACTCTCAGCCTAACCTACCTCACAGGGCTGTTGTGAGGATAAAATGGAGGAGAAGAGAAGGATGTATGCTGCTTTGGGCTCCCATATGAGGAGAAAGGTAGAGTTCTACATGAAGTGAATAAGATGTTATAGTTCTCTGAAACTACACTTGTACCCTTCAGGTATCCCACAGTCTCCAAGGGGGAACCTCAGAGATCCACTGTGGCATAGTGGTTAGAGTGTCGGATTAGAAACTGGGAGACCCAGGTTCGAATCCCCACCCTGCCATGGGAGCTTCCTGGGTGCCCTTGAGCCTGTCACTCACTCTCAGCCGAACCTCCCTCACAGGACAAAATTTGAGTCCACTGGCACCTTGAAGACCAACAAAGCTTTATTCTGGGTATAAGCCTTTGCGTGCACACATACCTCTACCTATCTCACTCACAGGGCTTTTGTGAGGATAAAATGGAGGAGAGGAGAACGATGTAAGTTGCCGTGGGTCCCCAATTGGGGAGAAAACGTGAGGTACAAATGAGGTAAATAAATAAACCTGGCCTGGGGCCTGCGAATAACGACACTGTTCGCTCTCTCCCCACCAGTCGTAATTTGACAAATCTCCTCCCTCAGTCGTAGTTTTCTAAACACCCCAAAAGCCCCTCCCATCCAGCTCCGCCTCTTCTGGAACTTCCAGCCTGAAGCCCAGGAGGTTCCTCTTTCCCATCAATTTCCTCGTTCAACCACTAGAGGGGGCCAGGCCAGCAGTCCAGTCGTGCAGGCCGGCGAGGCGACACCTACCGGGTTGAGGGGCTGCGACGTGAGGAGCTGCTGCAGTTGCTGGAGCTGGAGCTCGTGCTGGCTGAGGAGCTGCCGCTGATGCTCCGCCAGGTGGCTGATGCTGGAGGGGAGGAAGGAGGCGAAGAGGCAGGGGTGGCGTTAGGGCAGCTGGACGGTAAAGACAGGAGACAGCCCACTGGCACCAGTTAAGGCAGGCAGAACATCTCCTGTCTTTGAACACACGTGAAAGCTGCCTTCTACTGAATCAGACCCTCGGTCCATCAAAGTTGGCATTGGCTCCTCAGACCGGCGGCAGCTCTCCAGGGTCTCAGGTGGAGGCCTTTATAATCTCCTATTTACTACCTGATCTTCTTAACTGGAGATGGCGGGAATTGAACTTGGGACCTTCTACCACTGAGCCACGGTAGCCTTGTTTGAGAGAGTGAATTAGCAGGCAGTGGAAAATGTAAAACAATCCCATCTCTCTGGCCAAGTATTTCCTGCAAAATGCCTCCTGCCTCTCGGGCAGAGGTCTTTCACATCACCAACTGCCTGGTCCCTTTAACTGGAGATGCCGGGGATCGAACCTGGGAACATCCGCACACAAAGCAGAGGCTCTCCCACTGACCCAGGGCCCCTCCCCAAAATTTAATGTATGTACATATGAAGCTGCCTTCTACTGAATCAGACCATCAATCTAATCAGGGCCAGTATTGTCTACTCAGACTGGCAGACTGGCTCTCCAGGGTCTCAGGCAGAGGTCTTTCACATCACCTACTGCCTGGTCCTTTCAACTGGAGATGCTGGGGATTGAACCTGGGACCCTTCTGCGTGCCAAGCAGATGCTCTCCCACTGAGCCACAGCCCCTCTCCATGGTTCTCCAGGGACTCAAGCTGAGGTCTTTCATATCACCTCCTAGCTGCCCCTTTCAACTGGAGATGCCGGGGATTGAACCTGGGACCCTTCTGCATGCCAAGCAGATGCTCTTCCACTGAGCCACAGCCTCTCCCCTTTGTCAGCTCCTTTTCTGAACTTGCCATTCTGTTGATGCAGCCTCCCCCCCCCCCTACATACCTGTTTTGGTTGGTGGAGAGCTGCAGGGTTTGGGGACCGCTGGTCTGTGCCAGGAGGGGATTCTGCGCCTGCGCCGCCATCGCTCCGTTCAAGCCTCCAAGGATACCGTTGACAGGGATCTGCTGCCCTCCAGTCAGGCTCCCAAGGAGACCTTCCACCAGGCTGTGATTGGCCGGGGCGCCTCCTCCTCCGTGGGCGGTCCCCACAGCCCTGGCCAAGCCGTTCACTGGTGGCTGCTGCTGCACCCCGGCGGTCAGCGAGAGGGAGGCGGGGCTCTGCTGTAACAAGGGCAGGGGGGGCGGAGTGCTGTGGAAGGACAGGGAAGAGCTGCTTCGGCTGGGACAGCCCGAATGAGGATCCTGGTAGAGGAAGGGAAGGAAGGAGAATCACGACTGGGCACGGCAGGGATTGCATCCGGGGCCATTGCATCCCCCCCCCCCCAACTCTGCACCCGGCCAAATCAAATTCTCCATCGAGAGCAGAATTCTGCAGCATACAGACATGATGGGGCCAATGCTCCCGCTAAGCTGTGGAGTCTTGTGAGCAAAAATTCTACTTTGTGAGCTACTGGCATTAAAGTCGTGAGCGAGCGATTTGGCTGCTGCATAAACTAGTTTGCTCTGGAGCCCTCCTCCCTGAGCTAAGACAAAAATGTGTGAGCCAGAGGCTAAAAAAGTGTGAGCTAGCTCACACTAAATCAGCTTAGAGGGAACACTGGATGGGCACAGCAGGGATTGCATCCGGGGCCATTGCATCCCCCCCCCCCAACTCTGCACCCGGCCAAACCAAATTCTCCATCGAGAGCAGAATTCTGCAGCACACATACATGATAGGGGCGGGCCAATGCTAAGCTGTGGAGTCTTGTGAGCAAAAATTCTCCTTTGTGAGCTACTGGCATTAAACTTGTGAGTGAGCAATTTGGCTGCTAAATAAATTAGTTTGCTCTGGAGCATTCCTTCCTGAGCAAAGACAAAAATGTGTGAGCCGGAGGCTAAAAAACTGTGAGCTAGCTCACACTAACTCAGCTTAGAGGGAACACTGGATGGGCACAGCAGGGATTGCATCCGGGGCCATTGCATTCCCCTTAATTTTGCACCCGGCCAAACCAAATTCTCCATCGAGAGCAGAATTCTGCAGCATACAGACAAACGGCAGATAGGCATCATGTCTCTTATTTTACATTAATTATTCCGAAAAGGTTTCCTTGTTTATAAAGCTTACTCGGATGTTGCTTGTTAGCACAGAGGGGGGCAAAGAGACATCCTGGACACTGGAGCTCCATCCTAACCACTAGAGAAGATATCAGGGTTGCCAGCTCTGGGTTGGGAAATCCTTGGAGATTTGGGGGGCGGAGCCTGAGGAGGGTGGGGTTTGGAGAAGGGAGGGAGTTCAATGGGGCATAATGCCACCGAGTCCACCTTCCAAAGCGGCCATGTTCTCCAGGGGAACTGATTTCTGTCACCTGGAGATCAGCTGAGATGATGAGCTGAGAAAAAGCCTAAACTAAATATCCACACACATGGTGGGACAGTCAAGTCTTTTATGACAAAGGATATATACAGGGGTCATTTAGTAGAAAAAGAGGCGCAGGGGCTCATCAGCATAACTCATTAGCATAACTCATTTGCATATGCCACACCCCCTGACATCACCGGAAGTGTGTCAGAAGGCAACACCCACCGCTCAGGCTCCACTGGACTGTTTTGGATTGCTAGCTATTCGGGGGGGGGGGGACGTGCAGATCTCTCCTTGCAAAGGAGGGAGAGCTTGTACCTGAATAAAACTTGGTCTTAAAGATGCCACTGGAATGTCTTGGATGGGGGGGATGGTTTTTTTTTGCAACTTACCTGGCTGCTTCTTGCTCTAACTGAGGGCTGCTGGGAGCAGGGGGTAGGGCTTGTTGCATGTGCCCGCCCCCTGGGCTCTTTACTGCTGGAGCTCCGCTCCTGTGCGCTCCTACAGGAAATTACACCTGGATATCTACATGCTACTGCAGGGCAACCCAGTCACTGAGGGGAACTGAAGATTTGGTGGGGAAAAATCTGCCAGACAGGGGTCCGGTTAGGCTGAGAGCGTGTGACTGGCCCAAGGTCACGCACTGAGCTTCCATGACAGTGGGGATTCGAACCTGGGTCTCTGACACTCTAACCATGATACCACACTATTTCTCCTTGGCCAGCCATTTCTCCTTGCCTCACAACAAGGCCACCTGTAGCTGCCACAGAATCCATGTTGCGCACATAAGGAGAACAGCAAGAGACGTCCCGTACCTCGGAAGAAGTGGAGAGTGAGTTTTCGATGCCAAAGCTGTTCTTGCAGGGGGGGCTCTTGCTGGCGCTCAGAGAGTCGCTGTTGCATGCTAGAGGGGAAAACACAGGTTGTCTTTCAGCTGAACATTTGCAGAGTGCTACTCAGTCAGCCTGGCTGATTCTCACATCTCTTGAGAGCAGTGCTGGAGGCTTCCGGACAGGGAGGCAGGCGTGGGCCTCCGCATCTCTCTCGCTTACCTATTTGTATAATCTGCTCATTTGTTTACATGACCCAAAGGTACCCCACCTCTCAACAGAATCCAATCTGGCCCGCAAGCATTCCCACTAAAAACGTACAGTAAAATCCACCTGTCCACAATATTTAAAGAGAAGATCAATTTCACCACTCTGCAGGAAGGAAATCGACCCAAATGGCAATTGCAGCCAGAGTTATAAGCCACAGCGAGGCTGAGAAGAGCATAAAGGCTCAGGCAATAACCACCTACTGCCAAAGGCCTGGGAAAAGAGAAACGTCTTCTTTTGGCAACCCAGAGGAGGAGGAGATTGGATTTATCCCCCGCCCTTCACTCAGAGTCTCAAAGTGGTTTACATTCTCCTTTCCCTTCCCCTCCCCACAACAGACACCCTGCGAGGCAGGCGGGGCTGAGAGAGCACTTCCGAGAACTGCCCTTGAGAGAACAGCTCTGACAGAACTTGTGACTGACCCAAGGTCACACCAGCAGCTACATGGGGAGGAGTGGGGAAACAAACCCGGTTCTCCCAGATTAGAGTCCACACTCCTAACCACTACACCAAACTGGCTCTCACCACCAAACTGGCTCCCCAACAATCAAGTTGATTTTCACTTCAATAAAGCCCTGCCGGGGCCTCCCCTTGCTTTGCTTACATTTGCCGAGACAGATGGATTTCTGACAGTCCCGAGACGCTTGATTCTCACCACCAAACCGAGCACACCTGCACTCGGCCGATGTGAAAAAGTGAGATTGGTCTGCATACAGTGCCTGCCGCTTCCTTCGCTCCTCTCACCTACCTTCTTCCTTTGCACATACCGCTTGTTTCAAAACTTCCTGCTTGGATCAAGCTCCAAATTGTCATCATGGAGGTGTCTGGCTGAATTCAAGTTTATTCCCCCCCCCCCAAACATACATACAAACAATGATTCTGAGAACCAGAATTCAAGCTTGTCAGGAGACAACAGAACTCCAATCTGCCCAGCTCTCTGCGTCTGAAAAAAATCATGGTGAACCGCACTTTGATCGGACCAGGAAGTTTTCAATCGAGCTTTAGGTGTGAAGAGAGGAGGAAGACAGGACGGGAGCTCCGAAGCACAACTCCCAAGCCCACTGTTCTTGCATTTTTTTGATCAGAGGTGCGTCACGAGTTCTGAACTCAGAACTCTACTCCGAGATGGGCAGGGGCACAATTCATATCAGAACTGTGGCCCACGGGGAAAATGGGCACAAAACTTTCCCCTGCGCTGTTTTCCCAGCCTGAAGTATATTGGCATTAAATGCAAAAAAATATAATTAGCCTTGGAAGCACAGAGCTTTTTCACAGTATCCCTTGATTCTCCATGTTTCCCAGTTAAGGGGAAAATGCCGTTCAAACAAATTACAAAGATGATATCACTCCAATCGTAACAAGAGAAAGAAATTTTACTTCAAAAATAGAAGCACATCTTTACATGACGTATTCATGTAGGTACATTTAACTTATTGTTAACAGATTAACTTCAAAAAAGGTTAACTTGCTACAGCTCCAAGCCCAGGTAAGAGACAGAAGAAGAGAGGCAATCAATGGCCAAAGAGAAGGCAATCAATGGCCAAAGAGGCTCAACATCTAAGCGATGACAGGGTGGGGCCAACTGCCAAGTGTACCTGAGTAAGAGTTACAATATCCTAATATCCTATAAAGTGGCCTGTTTGCCCTGTTGGAGAAAGTGATATGTAGTTCATTGGTACACATTAAGTTTCCCCAACAGGGCAAACAGCAGTTTCATGGCACCATTTGAGGGGAGGAAAACAGAATGTGAGGACGGCCCATGTGCACCATAGTCCCGCTCTGCACTGGGCCTCCACGTGCCTGGGAAGAGTTTCGAGCATATAACTTGCAGCACATCAGAAGTCTCCACTGTGAATCTTGGTGCAAATGCAAAGGTAATGCAGTGTACAGCAAGGTCCTGTGTACACTGCAATGTCTGACTGTCTGCTAGGTACTGGCTGAATGCATGCAGAGAGGAGATTCCACGGGCAAGGGGCCGCAGCTGAAAAGGCCCTGTCCCAGGTAGTGAGTTGACCCTAAAAGTGCAGGCAAACAAACCGGAGCATCTTATGAAGATCATACTGGTTCCTGCTTACCCCATCCAGACTGCAGAAATAAGAACCAGCCCTTTGGAAATAAGAACATTTCTAAATTTTGAAGATTAAACGCCAGCTGCCCCTGAGAAGCAGCTGGGTTACCGTCTTACCGTGGGGGGCCAGGATATACTGGGCCTGACCGGTGGGGCCGTTGCTGGGGGTCACCACAGGGAAGGGGACAGAGAGCTGCACGTTCAGGAGCTGCAGGCGCTCCTTCTTTGCTGCCAGAGTCATGATCTGCTCCTGGAGTCGCTGGTTCTCTTTCTGCAGCGAATGGAGGGCCTTGAGCATTTCTACAACTGCAGAAAACGTGAGGGAGAGGGGGGGTGGGGGAGGGAGGAGGG